GCACAGCTCTGACCATCCTTTTGCTTCCTCCATCTTCCTAAGGAGAAGGATCAGGCTATCTTGGGCTCCCTGCCACCAGAAAGGGTAACACCTTGGGCAGGAAGCTCTGCCCTCCTTCCAACTTCTCAGCTCATTGTTCCTACCTGACCTTCCATTTCGGATCTCATTCTCTGACCAGGGCAAGGCAAGTGGCCTTATCCCCAAGGTCCCTGCAGGTGGGACAGGGCAGGCTGCTCTGCCCAGATACTCACTGGCAAGGAGGTAGACGATGTCACACTACTAACCGCAGGGGGCTTTAGGGACGAGGTCAATAACTTTGCCACTCCCTGGGTCCCACCACTGGAATCTCCATTTGGACCACCTGGAGGGGCCACCAGGGTCAGCTTCTGGGAAACCAGTGTTTTTTTCACTGCTGAGCTTGGGACAGGTCTGCTGGCGGACTGTCCTGTAGAGGGAGGCTGTGCGCCAGGGAGCAGGTTCCCAGAAGTAGAGCTCTGGACTGAGGTTCCTCCAGAGGAAGAGCTGCCAGAAGAAACCCCATGTTTGGAGATAGAGCCGGCAAAGGGATTATTCTTATAAGATGATCCTGCAGAGCTGGCCGAATGCTGTTTTGATGGATGGCTCAGGGCAGCAGAGGACGAGGCTGTGGTCTTATGAGAGCTGCTGTTGGAGGCTGGTAAGCCTCCTGAAGTGGCTGGTGTGGAGGGATGGAAGCCTTGGCCTTTGGCCGCTGTCTTCACTATCTGCAAGAGGGGACGATGGCACTGTGGGGAGGAAGCCTTTGGGCTCTGGAGCTTATTGACAAATGGAGCTGGGGACGTGAAGTTCTTCTGCTGCTGAGTGCCTGCGTGAAAGACTTTGACTTGCGGGCCAGGTACAGGAGCTGCCACCTGGGTTCCATGAGACGTGCGCGGCAAACCATGGTGCTTTGCTTTGGACTGGTGCACTTCTGCCAATCCTTTGTTGAGGGGAGCCTGGCAAGACAGTTCTTTGTAGCCAGAACTCTCTGGTTTTTTCTCCTGAGAGGACTGCCCCAGTGCCAGGGCCTGTTCAGCCAGAAAATTGAGGGGTGACTGCAGAGAGCTAGCTGGTGGGGGAGCAGAAGGGTTGGGCTTTGCAAAGTTCCTTTTCTCTTCTGTACATAACACACCTGCAACTTTTTCTGCAGGTGCTTTTGAGGGGGCAGGCAGTGTGAATTCAGAACTCCCAGCTGCTCTGCTATTCAATGCAACCAGTTCCTTGGACACAGCTTCCACTGAGGAGGCTGTATTGCAGATCAAGTCTTCATCCAATGAGTCCTCCAGGCTGACAGGAGCAGGGTTGGCAAGGCTGCCTGATGCCTGGGAGGGGAGCTCCCTGCTTGAGACCCCAATGTTCAGGCCTCCTCCCTGGTGTTCTGAGGGCAAAGCAGTAGGGCCACTAATCTGTCCTGACTGGACAGAAACCTTTTTATCAGGCTTAGTAGAAGATTCCTAAAGGAAAGCAGAAATGCTGATGTTTAAGACGCCAATGTTGGCCTGTTGTGAGGACAAAAACATGAGAACAAAACAAGAGGTGACAGAAAGCAGGAGCCAAGCATGCCTGCCTTGACTTGAAATGCTACAACTTACACAACCTGTGGTGAGTGTCCAGCTGGCCAGGGCTGGGTTCACCTCTAGCAAACTTTGCTGCTAAGAATAAATACACCCCCAAGGGAACTTTTCTGTTTCTAAAAAAGTGTAAGACTCACTAAAGAGACACTCTGCCTACTGGTATTCATACTATCTCAGAGTGCTCCCAGCTACAATTAGACTGACACAGGGCATGAGATTTATAATGGCTTATAAATAAGCTATTATTATAGCTTTATAATATAAATAATAGCTATTATTATAGCCTTATAATAGCTATTTTATCTTCCTTTTCCCCTTTTTTCTCCCACCACATCTCCTTGGTCTGGGTTCAAAAGAAAGTCCTTTTCTTGGAAGCAAAAATAGCATCTAGCCTGTCATTCCTGCATACCTGGTACTTTATGCAGTAGGTCTAAGATGCTGTAGAAGTGCAGCAGATGTATAGGTATAAATGATTTGCACGTCTCATTCTCATGGTCTCTTTAGAGGTTTGGTTAAGGACACCACATCAAGACTCAAGAACAGGAAAATGGGCAGTTGTGGTAGCTCACACCTATAATCTCAACACTTTGATAGGCGGAGGAGGGAGGATCACTTAAGCCCAGGAGTTCAAAACCATGCTGGGAAACACAACAAGAGCCTATCTCTATACAAAAATTTTTAAAAATTAGCCAGGCATAGTGAAAGTTAAACCAGGAGGATTGGCTTAGCGCCTGTGGCTCGAGTGCCTAAGGCGCCATCCACATACACCTGAGCTAGCAGGTTAGAATCTAGCCCAGGCAACCAAAAGATGGCCGGGCGTTGTGGCGGGCACCTGTAGTCCCAGCTACTTGGGAGGTGGAGGCAGGAGATTCGCTTGAGCCCAGGAGTTGGAGGTTGCTGTGAGCTGTGATGCCATAGCACTCTACCCAGGGCGACAGCTTGAGGCTCTGTCTCAAAAAATAAAAAAATAAAAAATAAAAAATAAACCAGGAGGATCACTTGAACCCAGGAGTTAGAGGTTGCAGTGAGCTGTGATCAAGTATTACATTCCATTAAGAGGTTCCTGCGATAGCTAAGATAGTTTTCAGTCTCTATTCTCATACCACTGTACTATACTGCCCTTTGTTTCTGCCAGCAAACTCAATAAAACCACCTTTCCTTTCTACTCTTACTCTAGGCTAAAGAATGTATTTCTTACACTGGCTAAGAATATATTTCTTCCAGGAAAAGACTATAGCCATAGTGTCAGACCTTTGCATCTGCAAGGACTCATCACTCCTCAGAAGGCTGCCAAGAAGAACCCACTCCATCCCATCACCACCCAGGATATGGGCCAGGTGATTACTGTTTTGTAGAACTGAGGTTACAGGGTTTAAGAGGCACAGCTCAGGTCTCTGCCCTGATACAATTTTAAGAGTGCCACCCTGAATACATGTCCTCAGACTAGTAAAGCTCAATGAGCTGCCATAGTCACTTAAGAGATTTCTCGAGCATGGCTACAGGGAGATGTGGACAGCTGATACATGACCTGAATAAGCCAACTCACCTTCACCTTGATTTTAGAAGGGGCCATTACTTTCTTCTTGGCCCTGTTCAAAGGAATGAGCAAAGAAAGGTTTAGAGAATACCACAGAAAGAGATAAAAGTAGTAATCCTGAGAAATAAAAACACCAAGACACTCACAGGATTGATGTCAGGTGCCCGTGGCCTCGTCTGCTCTCCTTAAACAGAGTCCTGAAAGACACAGAACACTGGACATTTGTATGTGCCCCTGGGACACTGTTTCTAGAGCTTTGTTAGCAACCTGGGTACTCAGTGGCTATTACTCCTTAAATGTCAGTTGACTGGTAAGCTGAATTCTTGGTGCAAGAATTTTTTCTTTCTTTCCTTTTTTGTTTTTTTGAGACAGAGTCTCACTTTGTCACCCTCAGTAGACAGCCATGGCACCAGAACTCACAGCAATCTTAAATAATTGGGCTCAAGCAATTCTCTTGCCTCAGCCTCCCAAGTACCTGGGACTACAGGTACCCGCCACAACGGGCTTGCTCTTGCTCAGGCTGATCTCAAACCTGTGAGCTCAGGTAAGCCACCTGCCTCACCCTCCCAGAGTGCTGAGATTACAGGCATGAACCACTGCACCTGGCGCCTCCTCCACCTTTTTAAATTTAATAACAATAACAATGTTTAAGATAACTGCCCTCCCCACCCCGTGGTATTCAAGCTAGAATACCACGGCATTCATCATAGCCCACAACAACCCCAAGTTCCTGGGCTCAAGTGATCCTCCTGCCTTACCCTCCTGAGTAGCTGGGACCACAGGCACCCGCCACAATGCAGGTGGATGGATAATTTTTCTGTTTTTACTAGAGATGGGGTCTTGCTCTTGCTCAGGCTGGTCTCAACCCCTGAGTTCAAGAGATCCTTCTGCCTTCACCTCCCAGAGTGGTAGGATTATAGGTGTGAACTAGCAGGCCTGACCGTAGTGAGAGAATCTAAAGTGGCCACACCAGCTACCCAAAAGCCAATAGTATGGGCTTTACTAAGAAAAATTATGGCTCTGCCCCTCACTTCTCGGGGCCACAGCACTTTCTCCACTGCCTGTTCCATCTCTTCCAAGAATAAAATATAGAGTGACCCACAGTGCCTCTTTTTTCAGAACAAAATGTAATGTTTTGTTTTCAACTTTCTCTGAGTGGAGAGGATAGCATTTTCTTCTTTTTTATTTTTAAGACAGAGTCTCACTATGTTACCCTCAGTAGAGTGCTGTGGCGTCATAGCTCACAGCAACCTCAAACTCCTGGGTTTAAGCAATTCTCTTGCCTCAGCTTCCTAAGTAGCTGGGACTACAGGCGCCCGCCACAACACCTGGCTATTTTTTGTTGCAGCTGTCATTGCTGTTTAGCTGGGCCAGGTTTGAACCTGCCAGCCTCGCTGAATGTGGCTGGCACCATAACCACTGTGCTATGGGTGCTGAGCCTTTTTTTTTTTTTTT